AAAGTGTCATTTATTCCAAGTCGCCAGTCGGTGCCTTGTGTTTGCAGACGATCCGGATCATCCATCTCGACGCAGTATGAGAAAGTCAGAAGGACATATGTGAGCAGTCCGTCTATCTTAACCAGACTAGAGCATTCCATCGGATTGCAGGTGGTTTGAGGCCACATTGTTCTCTCAGTCGTAAGGTGATTGTCCGGTGGACAGAGTTAGTCCTGAATACTTTGATAAAGGCATTAGCACAAACCCGGCAGCTTGATCCTTCTGGAGGCTATGGATGTTGTTCGAGAGCGGTTTGTCTCAATCGCTTCTTCCACGTCAACAACATGGTGTTAATCACCTGTTCCACTGAGGAGATTTCTGACACCTTATTCCCTCGTGACAATGAATAACAGATCATCTAATCAGAAACAGCAAGATGCATATTCAATATATTATTCATATTGGTGTGACAGAATCAATATCTTTTATTTTTCAAAAGCGATTGAGTAGTATGGAAGGGATACATGAATAGTTTGCGAAATGTGACCAAGTTTGAAATATTTTCATTCTTCATCTACTATGTGATCAATACAGAAAGTAGTCTTTAGAAAGCGAAAAGATGTAAAGGGAGCAGTACGTCACGTGATGCACACACACAGTTTTAATCTTAGGATCCACTTTTATGTATCTGAAACACCCGGGGTAAAATATTATTGCAGGCCTATTGAACGTGATAGTGCTATTTAAAATCATGCCAAAGGTAAATGCCAACACATGAAACTCTGTGCCACGATTCGATGGAACGCATACATCTTGAAAAGAGGGACAAAATCGAGTGTCAACTATATACAAGCGTCCTGGAATTATTTCCGGATAAGCCCAATGAATTATAGCATTCGACAATCGATGCAAAGTTAATGTCCAGTTGTTCGCCGAGCTTCACAACTCCGTTACAGACGTTTCGTCACCAAATCAATGTGAGATTTTCAATCCAGGAGCTGAGTGGATGTCCTGGAATAAAAAAATAAAAAAAATAAGAGGTCGCTGAGTTTTGCAGAGGAGCCTGGCTTTATCTGATCGGGCGGTTATTACATTCGCCTTGTGACTATAGAAGACCGGGTGGATTCACTTAGACTAAGGGTTCAGTTTGTTGTTCGATCAGTGTTAATGCTATCCCATTTCGATGTGAGGCCGAATCCGCTTTGTTTGTGTTCGTTGGCTAATTTTTTGTTCCATGGGCGCGTAGGATTCGTGGTTGTCAACATGCCAATTGATCAATATTTCCGATGATGAATTCTTCTGTGAGTTTAATGCCAGTTTAATTGCAGACTCCTGATTGACTCATACCCTTCTGGTTGTGGGAGTCCTAGGTTATTTTTCCGTTTGCTCCACAGGTTTGTTATTGGTTTGTGGGTAATCTGTTAATCATGTGACCTCATTTTTTCCATTGTGACTCAAAAATGTTCACTAAATCATCCAGTTAATCAACTGAAACGTGTGCCAGTTTCCAAGGCCTACTTACTGAATGTATTTCAATTCTGGTTGCAATCGTCCATTCGAATTTTGTTCAAATCTAGATTTTTTTGTGATAGTTTAGGTGGTTGCTGGTAAGTCCCAGGGACTGGTCTATGGGGACTTCCTTTCGGGACGTTTGTTGTGCTGGTCTCGTGAGTAAGAGGTCATGAAATGCTAATTTCATCGTGTGTTCTGTTGTCGTGGTGAATTTGATATATATGACGATACTACTGGTAATGTTGGAATTTAAGTCGCTTCCGGCACATTCCGGACTCACAAACGTGTCATCTGTATATTTGGGCCAAAGTTGAAGCCTCATTTAGAATGGGTTCGTCCTTTCAACTTTTTGCTGTTGTTGTTGTTTACATGTTTCATGAAAAATCGAAGGGCACCTGAGGGGTAACAAATTGTACAAATAGGAACAAACATCACACAGTCGACCCGTAGACATGCAAGTAGACAAACAAGTGCATAGGGTAACGAAAAACGGCATCCATAAACATCGCACATGACCAAGCAAGCAACGGGTCGCTCAATACTTGAAGTTTGATTGACTTAACTAAATCGATCATAGAGCCGCACAATTGTGGGATGTGTGTTCCACAATTTGTGTGTGTGTGTGTGTGTGGTATCGTTTACGGACAGTCCCGTCAATAGTGGTAAAACGCGCACTAGTTGAATCTTACCGTCCCCCCCCAACCAGAGTGGAAACATTACACTTTCCAGAATTTTGCTTCATTACAACACCTTAGGTCATGTTCAGATTCGAGGGAACAAAGTGTGACACCTCAAACAACATTTCCATCTCTAACGATTTTTTGTTCACCATCAGGATGGTGGCTACCCGTTGGATTGGTCACCGGACGAATACCTTCGGGACCCAACGAACTACGACAGTCTGACTCCGAATGCCCGATTGCCTGCCTCGTGGGCTGCGGCATGCATTTTATATCATCTACAAAGTTTACCGCTGAATGCCTTTAGCAGGGGTGTTCTGCCCATTATTCCTGAATTGATTCTTTCCCGGTTCCAGTTCAATCCAGAGGAATACGTTGTGAGGGGAGAGTTGAAATTGATTCATACGTCAAATGCCATTTATCCGACCCTATCGTTACTCAATCACTCGTGTGACCCGAATTGCATGCGAATTTCCATGCGGGACGAACATTGTGGTCTGTTTGCGATCGAACAGATCGGGAAGGGAAGTGTCTTGGAGATTAGCTACAATAACGCGGAATACACAATTCTCCCACGAACGATACGTCACCCATTACTGACAATGAAACATCAATTTCAATGCTGTTGTCTGGCTTGCAAGGAGAATTGGTCTTTGCCGGATTTCAATTATGATCTGATATGTTCACACTGTCATGGTGCAATTCCAATTAAGGAGCCCGCATCGGACCGGAATCGCGAATTGGACAAATGTTGTTGTCCGCGTGGGGAACAATGTCACGTAATATTGGAATTTTATTCGTTTTTGCAAAATCTCGCTTACCCTGATATGGACGCACAAATGCTCGAATGTTTGCTGCTATTCAAGAAACAAATTCCTCAGGATTGGCTCGATACTCAGATTAACAAATTGGCCGATCTTTTGAGTCCGAATCGACTGGGTGGATCTGTGACCCGATCCAGTTTACCATTGGTAAAAATGAAGGAGCGTCTGACGTTGTTATTGTATTTGCGCTACGGTTGGTGTTTGGAGAACATTCAGAACATGACGAAAGAGGTTTTCCAGGCAATGGAGGACAGTAAATTATTTGTTTGATGTGCTTATCGCGGTGACGGACCGGAGGAATATTTCCGAGTCAAAGCTTTAAGTTCCCCCCCCCTCCCGAAGTTGGGTGAATTTTCCGCTTTCTACATTGTTATTACGAGAACTATGCTTTATGCGACTGCCATTGAATAAAGACAACAACACCAGATTAGTATTGAGCGAATAAACGTTTTGCGGATCGAC